AATTAGCCATTAATAAGTAATTTGTTGCCTTAAATAAAAAACTCCACTAATACATAATTAATTTTCAAAATATCACTTATATCCATTCTAAATACAATGAATTTCCAAGCTTATTCATCATTAAGTGTCAATTTAATAGAGAAGAGTTTTCTTTTCAATTATAATATATCAAAACTGATCAGTGATTTATGTCAAGTTGATTGAGAATAGACTATTCTAAGATGCAATAATCAAAGGTTCATCAAGAATGGGTTATCTATCTTAGAGTGTCTTCAAGGGCTTCATAAAAATTTGAATGATGGCTATTATTTACTCAAATAACCAATGGAATAATCCTTTTGGTTAGTCTAGTCTTAAAGAAGCCTACATCATTTCAAATTTTTGATTAGGAATTCTATTTGGAAAGTGGTCATATTCAACTAAACTTCCAAAATATTAATTTAGTCATTGTAAAATTCCTAAAATAATTTTGGATTATTAAAGTGGATAACCTTGTATCTATAATGAAAATTTGAATTAAATATATGACTAAACTTTGGCTAAAATATAAAGTGGATAATCTTGTATCTATAATGAAAATTTGAATTAAATATATGACTAAACTTTGGCTAAAATATAAAGTGGATAATCTTTTATCTATGATGAAAATTTGACTTAAGTATATGACTAAACTTTGATTAAAATATATAGTATCTTTCAATAATAATAAAAATTAAAAATAATATTTATATTATTATTAAAAAAGACTTTTTTATAAGATGAGAAGTTTTAACATCTAAATGTTTTGGTTGGTTGAAATTAAGAAGTCTCTTTGAATTGGCTTTATATTTTAAAAAAAATCTAAACGCTCTTAAAAAAAATGTGTGGTATAATAAATTTTATTTTTACATTGCATAAATAATATTTTTGCTTATATTTTATGTTTCATTCTTTAAAAGATGTGATTTTTAGAAAAATTCAAAATTTTATTTTAAAATTCTTTAAATTAACTATTAAAAATAAGAATTTAAGTTTTTTATACTTATCATAATTATTAAATTTAAATATAAGTTGACATATTTGAACTTAAAATAAAATAAAGATTTAATCTATTTTATAACATCTTTTCACTTCATACTATATTCAAAGATCAAAGCTTCTAAAAAAAATAAGTCTTTTTTAAATAATAGACCTTAATGAGACTTTTAAACTATAGTCTTTCAAAGTAGATTTTTAGATATATGATCTCTTTAAGATATAAATATTATTTGGCTATATTATGCTTTGTAAAAAAAAAAGATTCAAAAACTTAATTACATCATTGAATTCAACTTAATATTATGTATTAATAAATAAATTTTAAATTTATTGGTAAATTATTATCATCTATATTTTTAATCTTTAATTTAATTATTGGATTAAAATATCAATATTGATTTTTTTAAAGATGTTGAAAAAAAAAAGAATAACATATTTTAATCTTGAATGTCTTAGAGAGATGATTACAAATAATTAATAAAGAACTTCTTCCTTATTAGGTAAAAAAGTAAGAAAATTTATCCAAGATAGACCAAAATTATTTGACTTAGTAGATTCAAATTTTTTTTAAATAAGTAGAATTTGAAAAATTTACTAAACCTTCATTAGAAATAAAAAGATGGTAAATGTGGCTTATATAGAATAGGGTGATGAATAGAGAGGTATCTTATTATTTTAATGAAAAAGCCAAAGATAAAGAAAATAAATTAAAAAAAACATGAATACCTTATAAATATAAAACTACAGGTGTCAAGTTTTGAATATAAGACAATTTCTTTGTCATCCATCATCTTATATCATAGATACCAATATTGAAATTAATAATTAGAACAATAATAGGATTTAAGTAATAATAAAGTAAATAAACTAGATAATATCTTATAAAAAAGCTTTATAGATGTAGGTTTAATTTACAAGTGTTTGTAGGTGATTGATAGGTTGAAAAATTAGCTAACATATTAATAACATGTCGTACATGTAGACCACATGTTTTACAAGTTGGCCTCATGTTGCACATGTTTTCTACTTGGAATATAAATTGGCTATGTAGTACGCATGTTCAAAACATATCTTGTAAATAAGTCATATGTTCAATAAGTTAAATACATGTTGGATGATTTATAGAGTGTCACCATGTAGCTTCTTAATTAGGTAGTATATAGAGAAGCAAGAATGAGGCCTTCTTCATTCTTGTCAACATCTTTCTTGTATTTTTTCCTTAGTTCAAGAATCTCTAATCTCTTTATATTTGGCAACAACTGTTCTAATTTCTATCTTATAATTATCTTTAATTTATTTACTTTCTTTCTTTCAGTGTTACAAGAATCTATTACTTCTTTATAGTTTCATTAAGAATCATATCCTTGAAAATTTACCATCTATCTTTAGTCTATTTAATATTTGGATGTAGAAGAAAATAAAATTGATTTGTCTAAAAGAACTTTTTTTTACTTGCATATTGTCCATCTTCTATCTTAAGATAATAGGTGGAAGTAGGGAATTGAAAATATTTCACCCCACATATAAAACTTATTTGCAAACTGATAATTGTGGAGGATTATTGTAGATATCTATAACTATTAGTATTCTTACTTGGATTAGTAGAATTATATAGAATAAAATAGAAATATTTTAAATTATTAATATATTATGCAAATTTGACTTCATATGTGTTTGTACATCATTGGTAGGTTGAAAACTTAGCCAAAAAGTTGGCCACATATTATACATGTTGGAAACTTATATTATTAATTAAACACATGATCTAGAAGATAGACATAACTCATCTGGCTTATAAGGGGTTGCCTCTTAGCTCTTTAGTTAAATGGTATATTTAGAGATAAGATTAAAGCCTTCATCACTTTTGTCAATTTTTTTTCCTTTTAATCTAATTATAAGAGTTTCTTAATAATAGTCACTCCAATTTCTTTCATATATACATACTTTTTCTTTTCATTTAATCACTTCTCTTTTATTTATTTATTTCTTGTTTATTTACGTCTTTCAAGTTCTTATCCTTAATACAAATTCCTACAAATTTCTTACAAAACTAGATTGAAAATATTAAATTTTATTTTTTCATGAAATAACATATTTCTATTAGCCACATAGATTTTTGCAATAAAAGATGGTTTAAGTATTATTCATCTCTTTATTGGTATTAAAAAAATTCTATAAATCTTAATATATTTTTGTAAATATTATCTATAATGGTTTGTTTTCTAATTTATATAAATTTTTCTATAAACTAATCTTGTTTTAATTTTGAATATAGGTATGGAATACAAGTATTAGTTTTTTTGATTATGTACATAAAATAAAATAAAGTCAACTTAAGTTTAGAAATAAAATAATTATTTTTTTCCTCCAAATTCTCATTAAAATTGAATAGAGTCCAACTTTTCAACAACAATCAAATGAATGTATCAAAACTTAATTATAAGATGTTTTTTCTTTGCATAAAAAAGTTATGTAGTAACTTCAATATTTATTTTTTCTTATGTAATTAGAATGAGCAAGTTTTATATTAATTGAAAATAATAAATTTAAGATTCAAATAATAAGAATAATTTTAGCTTAGCATTTAAACCAAAGTCTCTTTATTTTTTGATAAATTCAATTTTCCATTAGAGGCTCTTATTAGGTTGCATCTTTTAGATTGTTACATCAAAGATATAAGTTCTAAGTTTAGTTTCTATGTTCAAAAAAGTAAATGTTATCTTGCATCACTTTTAAACCTCTTGATGTAATAGAGATTCTTGAAACTAAGAAAGAATGTCTTTAGAAATAACTAGATTTCAAAATTGGACTAAATCAAAGTTCTAGCATCATGCAACTTTAATTCTTAGCATATTCACATTAAAAGATAGTCAACAAAGTTTCAACTATTGAATAATTTGGACCATTGCTAAAATATTCAACCACCTTCTTTCAAACTTTTATGAACTTTTTGAAAAATTTTATTTAGCTTACTTGGATGATTTAATTGGATGATTTAGTAATTAAAATTTTACAACTTGCATGTTGAAATTGCAATACAGACTTGGATTATATTAATAAAAAAAAATTATCATATTTATATGAAAATTCTACTAGTTTAGTCAAAATTAGGTCTAATTTTTTAAAAAATGAAACCAAAATATTATACAAATAAAAAAATAAATAAAGAATAAAAAATTATAAGTTTAAACTGCAATGAATGTAGTAAGCAAAAGTTTGAGATTGTTTGATTGGAAATCTTTGGCTAAAATCAAAGTGAAAGGCAAATTTGATTAACACATTTTCAAAAGTTAGATATTGTTTTGCAAATCATTAAAAAAAATAATTTAAATTTTTTGTATACAACAAGTATATTTTAATAATTATTTTCTACTAAAGATAAGATAAATTGATAAAATTGGTATGATTGTTAAAATTGATATCTTTTTATATTTATGAAAAAATATATATTATTGATTGTAGAATATAATTGTATTCTTATGTTTATGAGTTTGTCTATTGGTCTTAATACTATGAGTAAAGATATTTTAAGTTTTCACAGTCTTAACAAATTTTGTATATATATATATATATATATATATATGTATTCAAGATATTTAGGAATATGAGGCAGAACTTTATAGCTTCATAGTTTGGAATCCATTATTGGTGTGAACACTAGTGCATAGTTATAACATGCAATGGACAATTAAACTTTTTTTTTTTTGTTATTATTTTTATACTTTCTCTAGGGCTTATCTTATTGGTTAATTAATCCACAATCATTAACATTTTTGCCTAAAAAATTGGTGGACCTGATTATTTACCACTTTATTTCTTTTGAAAGTTCTTTTACAAATTTCAACACATCATTTGTTTTAAATAATTAAAAAGACACTCAACTATAAATTTTTTCACCCTTTGAAAGTTTAACACTATATTTATCTATAACCACAACACTACAAGTTTGTAAAATACTCTTATTTATTTATTTATTTATTCAACCTATTTAATATATTTCTCACATATCCATTCTACAAAAAGTATTAAAAATGTAAAACTTTGCAAAATGAATTAGTCTTCTTGCATTACAGTACAAAATTCTGTCGGAAACCAATGCATGCATGCATGTTCGGGTTTAGGGTTACAAATCTCTGGATGGTAACCATAAACCCGAAAGAGTCTAGAAGTGAGATGCATGAGAGGCTTTGACAACGCATCGCCTGATCTTCGCAGTCGCAGACGCAATCGATCGAGAACTTAATCCATCGTATCGAATGACGACGGCGACGATCAGATGCGATTTGAGTATAATTGCGACGAACCAAGCACCGTAAGTTTCAGCTTCAGAACATGGACTCTGCACAATTGTGCGATTTGTGCGTCGGTTCTCTAAAGTCCTAATTCCGACGTTTCTGCAGGACCCACCACGTCTTACTGGAGTCCGCAGGCTTGCCATCCCTTGCGCAAATTCGAGATCCTGCCATCACAGCAGTAGCAAGCTTACTAAGTCATTTGATTAGCTGATAAGATTCGCAGGGCTCCAAGTTCCTTACAGTTGAGCAGAATGTCAGTTTGGGTGGTAGGGTAGTTGTCGAGATGGCGTGGTCGCTTCTCACTCTTGCTCTCATCTTATCCATCGTGCCTTCTTCGGAGGATCGTTCTCGATTACCCGACCCGCTGTGTGGTGATGACCCGGCAACTTCTCTTTGATTTTGTTGATCAATCCGTGCTTTTTGACCCCATGCGTGCTTGCTGCCACGAGTTTCATTCAGCATGTCATTCTCAGTTCAGGGATATGTGCAATTGAGTTTACAGGCAACACTTCACGTCTGGAGCATTCTGGGTGGGAATCGGATAATATTCAAAACCGTTCAAGTGCAGAACCATACTTGTGTTGTCAAGGTTGCATCCATCTCCACCTGCGTTTCGCTCCGTACTGCACAATGGTCTTGATACGCAAAAACCATCGACATCAGCGTGGGAATTGACGTTACGCGAGCCTGCGGCCGCGTGGCCGTAAGATACTGTCTTCGCGTCAAGCCCAAACTGAGATTCACTGAAGCTTGAGGGGCGATGGTCTGCTCCAGTCACCTCACTCGAAGCGCCACGGCCGGAATTCGGACCTGAAACATGGATATTACCACACAATGACCGACTGGCTCATCAGTCCAAACTAGTATCAGCGCAACAGTGGGTCGCCCTTTCGACTCCGCAACAGCATGCTCGAAGGGTGTTGCACCAAAACGGTGTTACCTAAGACACCAGTGTCCGAGTCGCCATGGCCCTTTGTTAATTCTAGGGGACTTGGAGATGATCCTCCAGGCTGGTTATCGATCCTTTCTTCAGACTCATCCTGGCGTCCATCATTGCTCGACATGTCCGGTTTGCTCATCAAGCCCATGAACCCACCGGCGGAGTCCTCCATGTTCCAGTTGTAATCAGCCATTATGAGATAAGATGAGGAAAAAAAAAAAAAAAAAAAAAAAAAAAAAAATGAAGATAAAAATTAGAGCAGAAACCACAACAGCAGACAACTGAAATCGAGAGACTCTCGAACAATCTATCCAGCCTCAAAGCAACCAGGGAAATTAAGCAATTAAAGCTGCACTGCAAAGAATGACCAACTGGAATCCGCACTTCACAACACGAGAGTAATCACAAATTTAAAAAGATGGAATTGAATTCGACCGTGATTACCGAAAATCTCTGTGGCATGTTGAACAGGTGGGGTTAGGGAAGCAGGCCAGATGTCCATGGTCTGATGGTCATATGGTCGGATACGGTAAGATAAAACTAGGTCTCGATTCCTGTAGGGTGCCACTCCCTCAGAGCTGGCCAAAAGCAGTTCCGGAATCCGGAGAATTGCAACACGTTCTTTTCCTCGTGATTAGCCCCACAATCGAGCATTACTCCAGCCATCGAAATGGAGGGTGAGATCGGTGCAAGTTACAAACGAATGCATGCTTAGAGAACCATTGGGAGACCAAAATTGAGGTAGAAAAATGAGAAGTTGCAAGATGACATGTCCCATAATACAGTGCTTGTTTTTCCGAGTGTTTTCGAGGTGGTCTGTGGCATAGCAAACATTCAATTCGCAAAGAGTTGCATCTACTTTCTGTTTACAATACCAGGAGCGGCGTATTTCTACCCAGCCGCCTTGGCTGACGGAGCAAGGTCCCTGAGAAGCACATATCTTGATGAATCTCCCTGCAAAAACATTGAAGAGCTTAATGTCGCAACATCTCCACAACCAGGCCTGAACCTCAAACCCTAAACCTGAACTCCCCCAAGCTGCGCCATCTCATGAATCTCTCAAGTTCCTCATCGAAACACTCCAATTTGTGGATGCAATGTTCGCTTCTCTCCTAAATCGGTGAGTTGTGATCAGTAATTACAAACCTTTCATGGAAACGTTTTTTTGCAAATTAACAGTAAACAAACACAAAAAAAAAGAAAAAAAAGAAAAAAGAATAAAAATGATGCATCCTCTTCTGTTTAACCTGTGAATGTGAGTTGGGTTGAAACAACAAATTGTGGTCTGAGAGAGAGCATTCATAAACGGTGTATGGCGACTACAACTGAGAAAGGAAATGAATCCGTTATTCTAGAACCATCCTCTCGCTTGACATATCCATTTCCAGCGTCAATTTACTCTCTCAATTTCAGTCATAAGCTGGAATTACAATAACTGCATATACCATCAAATGGTTAATGTTACATACCAGAGTAGGGCTCTAAGTAGAATGCAGATCAAGGCTTCAAAAAGATTAGACCTCCGTGATCCACTTTGATCATTTTTCAACGCATTGCAATTCACGTTTTGGCTAAATCGCTGTATTGGGGTTCCATTTTTCCCTTCACTTTCAGATAAGCTGACATTGCAAGAAGGTAATTGATAATAAAATTAATAAAATTAATAAAACGATCAATTTAAAAATAACATGAAATCTTTTTAAAGATATCACATGTTAAGAATATAAATAGAAATTATTAGGGTGATTATTACGGTGATTTAGAGCCATTTGGGCTTTGTCTGAGGCTGCCTCAAATTTTTACTTTGAAATTACAATTTTTTCTTCTTTTTTTATTAAAACAAGAAATAAAATACTATGAAAGAAGTAAAGATAAATATTTGATATAAAATAAATAAATAAAAATACAGTGCTATGATTGTTTTAACTAGGCTTTCGACTTACAAATGTTGGAATTGTTAACCACCTATATATATCTATATATATATATATATATATATATATATAATAGGAATTTTAATTGTCAAGCCATCTAGTTAAGCTATTCAAAGGAATCATGCAATTGAACCATTGAAGCAAATAAAAATAAAGAAATATATATATATATATATATATATGAATGAGAGAGAGAAACAGCCTAATAACTATAATAGGTTTTGATTGAGCTTGAAGTATTAGAATCTTAAGAGTCCAATTTCGTTGCAGTTGTAAAGATTTATTTTAGTTTTTCTTATTGTTGCATAATATTATACTGAATTTTTTTTAACAATACAATACTTTAGATAAGGTAATAATCAAACATATTGACAATTTAGTGCTTTAAATATTTCTTACTATATAAGTAAAAAATTTACCGTAAATTTTTTTTTATAATATATTCTATTTATTTATATATACTAAACTTCTATAGTCACACTTTCAAGCATAAAATATTATAAAAAAATATTATTATTATTTTTTTCAAATACTAAAAATTAGAATAACAAATTAATTGCCAAAAGTTATTAATACCGGATGCTATTTCATTAGCATTTAGTGGAAATTGCCAAATTTCTTTTATACTAAAATAAAAATTTAAATTATTTAGAAATTGCAAAGAATAATATTTGTCGATAAAAAATATTATACCAATGTTTTATGTAATGTATCAAAGATCTTCTCTACTAAAATTAAAACTTATTAAAAAAATATTACTCAAAATAATCAAAAATAGAAAAAACAAATTAACAATAGATTTTTTTAAATGATTTCAAAATCTATCTATAAAACTTTGACAATAGATGATTTCTAGATTTTGTTCTATCATAACTAATATATATTAAATAATTTTTCATTCTTTAATTCGAGTGATTTTATCTCTTCATTCCTTGTGTAACTTTTTCAAAGTTGTATAATGGAATATATTATTCTTACTTCTACTTTGGCTTGCTTAAAATGGATGTTCTTTTAAACTTTTTTTTTTTGTCTATTCTATAGACTTAGCAAATAAGTCTTTTATTTAATTCAAAGTAATGATAATAATTACATCTTTATTTGTAAGAAATTTTATTTTATTGCTTTTGTATTATTTTTTGCTTAAACTTTATTTTTTTCTATGTCTATTTTTATTTTTTTCTAAAATTCTTTGATATTTTCTTTATTGGTGATTTTTTTTTCAATAGAAATTTAATTATCATTATTATTATTATTTTCAATTGTTGGTTCTAAATGCTTAATATGCATTCATACTCATACTACGATCAAGGTTTAGGGTTGTCCTTCATTTGGTATAAGATAAGAATGTCTAGAAAGGGCGTCTAAGAAATCTTGTTATTTTTTGGATTAATAATTAATCTTAAAATCAAATTTTGATAAAGATATATTCCAACAAGCTTTTCAATGATTCAAAACACGTATTGATATAAAATACTTGAGGTTCTTGTCATTTGTATATATGATGACTAGATTAGAAGTGCTTTGTAGATAATAATGCCATTCCTAAAATAAATCCATGATTATAAAAAGCTCTTTGTTGTAGATCTCATTTATTGAAGAAAAAACTATCAAGTAGAGCTTGTCATTTGATCCCATTTATAACAACACTACATTCATAGCAAAGTCTTGTCTATTTGTTTGTATGTAGAATGCTTTAAAAAAATCAATATGATACAAGATTAGTACAGAAATAAATGTTGTCTTTGAGACTTCAAAAGATGCTTCAACTTCTTTGCTCCACTTAAATTTGTCTTTATATTTCAAATGTATAAGAAGATTTATAACTTAAAATAAAATTTAATGAAGATTTGGTAATAATTGACAAATTTCAAAAAATATTGCACATCTCTAATTATTTTTTGAATCTTCTAATCTATGATACTATGAACTTTCTTTGGATCTATTATAAGGCCATCATTTGAAATGATGTATCCAAAGAAGTCAACTTGAATAATATAAAATATATATTTTTCCATCTTGACATATAATTCTATATTTCTTAGTTTTTATAATACTCAATAAATATTAAAATAATATTTTTTTATATTTTAAAAATAAATTAAAATATTATTTAGATAATAAATAAAAAAATTATTAAAAATTCATAAAAGATATTATTTATTAGATGTAATGGAATATAGATAAGATATTTGTATTTTTAATACATATAAATAAATAATTGGAGCCATGTTTGAAAAGTTTATAGAAGTTTGTAGAATTGGAGCTAGGTTAGTAGACTATGTAGGATCATCTATAGAATATTCTAAAAAGAATTTAAGGTGGTTATTTACATAGGGCCCCCCATGAAACATTCTAGAAAGAACTTAAGATGGTTTTCTAGGTAAGATCCACTATTAAGAACATTCTAGAAAAAACTTAAGATGATTTTCTAGGTGAGATCTACTATTAAGAACATTCTAGAAAAAACTTAAGATGGTTTTCTAGATGAAATCGACTATTAAGAATATTCTAGAAAGTTCCAAGATGTTTAGACAAAGTATAAATAAGACTAATTAAGGCCATTTATATTGGTTAGATATAGCTTTGGATCCTTTCTCTTAATAAAGTTTGATTTTGCATCTTCTTATTCAATTCTATTCTATTTTCTTTTGTTGTAGTCTGCTCTATCCTATATTGCAATGGAATTTATGCTGTTATAGATTAGAAGGGTCTTAGATTTTTGAAATAATTTGGTCCCATTTCATTGATATCAAAGTGAATGTTAGACTATTCTTTGGTAGCGTGTCTATAGCTTTTGTCTAATTTGAGGTCAGTTATTGAGGTGACACTAAATATTGTGTTGAAGCTACTACAAGCTACTCTTAAGAAGTCAACTGGAAGTAGAGAAGATATTACAATAGTAGAATCTAACAAGAAAATTGCAGCATGGGAGATATGGCAGAGCAATCTTAGATGGAGGCTCAAATATAACACCTCCTAGACTAGATAGCTACCTTACAAGAGTAATCAGAAGCCTTTAGGATGATGGAAACATTTGCTACATTGAAATTGAGTAAGCTTGGTATATACTCTAAGACTTCAAGGCAAGAAGATGTATCCCAATGGCTCTTCAACATGCAACAATACCTCCAACTATCTGGGACAAATATCCTCAAATGAATTATGTATATAGCAAACTATTTGAAAGATACGGCAGCTATTTGGTGGTGACATCAAGTTCAAAGCTATAGAGCTGAAGGTGGATTTTGTAACTAAGAGGAGTTTGAAACTAAGTTTAGAAATCAATATCAGCCCATCAATGTAAAGAAGATAATACGTAATCAATTGATAAATCTTACACAATCCAGAATAGTACAAGGTTATGTCTCTCGATTTAAATTCTTATATCTCTAAATTACCAATGTTTCAGAGGTAGAGATGATAGATTGATTTCTATGAGGGTTAAAACTTAGAGTCCAATGAGAGGTAGATTTAAAGGATCTACAAATATTTGAAGGGACAATTAGAATTGCACAGAGGATTAATGCTGTAGATTTCAAAAATCATAGAATATGACCTATAGTACAAAGTCTTATGCAACTATGTAATACTATGGAATAACAACCAATGCCAATGGAGATTGATACATTGCAAGGATCATTGATACCACAAAGACGACAAATATTGATAAAGAAGGAATTAAGTTTTTATTGTTGAGAGCTATATTGAGTACTTGTGGATTGTAGCTCTATAAAAAATTACATCTTCACTGTAATTATTGATTAACTTGAGATTTAAACTAAGTAAATGATATATATGGTGGTTTTAAATCTTGCATTAGTAGTAAAAAAAGCAACAAAAGGAACAAAATGAATAAAACAACTCATATGAGAATATCGGGATGTCTTTTTAACCAACCTATTTAGAAATATGCCTCCTAATTAAGGTCATTCCTTCCAAATAGAACTATTGCCTATGGCCAAACTGGCAACTCGGCCAATTTATTGCCTAACATCTAAAAAACTTAAAAATCTATAAAAGATATTGAACAAACTCTTCAAAAATAGCTTCATTCAAGAAAGCACATCAACATAGAGAGCATCTGTATTTTTTGCACTAAAGAAGGATGGTGGATTTTGGCTTTGTATCAACTATCAAGGCTTTAATAAGCAGATTATTAAGAATACATATCCGCTTCCATGTGTAAATAATCTTCTTGATCAACTTTGAGTTACAACCATCTTTAATAAATTGGACCTTTAAAGTGGCTATTAATAGATATCTATTGTAAAAAAATATATAAAAAAGATGGCA